ACCCAGCTTTAGAACCAATAATTTTGGCAAAAACTAACCTCATTAAATACATCTTGTAGCTAAAACATTCTTTTTACACGCACATTCACTTAAACATTATTTCATGTCTCATGCAAAAAAAACACTAAAATCATGCCAGTTTCACGTTTGAAGAAAATACATGGATAGTTATGCAAGATTAGTTTACTAAAACAGAACTCAACTTAGCCTATTTATTAGGGGAAGAAATGGTGTATAACTTAACTCTTCAAGTAAAAATTCCTCTGGTGTCAACAACAAGAAAAAATAAGAAAAAATCAATCCATTGGTATGTTCACCAATGTTATTACTTTTAACAATATTTAATAATTCGACAAATGTTTAAGCGTCACTAACCTATAAATGTTGAGAATCAACAGCAGAATGCTAAGCATGTTATCAGCCAGATTGTGCGTGAGTATTGATCGCCGATACTGCTGCTAATAACAACGTAGATAACATACCAGAGGGATTTGTCAGATACTCCAGTCCAAACAGAGGCTTATGAAACACGTGGTCAAAGCAAAATAACATATAGAACCAAACCTATAACTCATGTACATACCTTCCTCATTAAAATGTTATTTTATATTTTGTCATGTTGCATATGCCAAATAAAAAATACTAATTTGGCATAGTTTGGTTCTCAAGTCAAGGGTTCTAGCTAATGGTAATAACTAAACACTAATAACAAGGCTGTCTTATGGAATTTTTAATTAAGTATTTATTTTGATTCTGGAATATTTTTAACTACATAATGATAAAATTTGCAGTTGAGTTCTTTCAACGTTACAAATTATTACTTTGTTTGAATTATTAAAGGTATTTCCACTGAAGAATATTTCATTTGAAAATATTCAGTATTTGATATGTATAAAATACGAATACAGTTCGGTCATAGATGGTTATTAGTTTATCCACAACGATAAAAGATTGTTGTGGTCGACGCAATGTGTCACTAGATTACTTAAAACGTAGCTTTCATAAAAAATCTGAATGTATATTTACTGTAATATAAAATAAATATAAGCTTTATTGGGAACGGTGTAACGTCAGACTAGTATAGAACAAATCGCTTAAACACCAGAGTACAATGGTTAACACATCGAAACTTTTAAGTGGTCCTTTTATGGTTAACGTCGAACAAAAATTTCCTCTCGGATAGTATTAAGAGAAGCTTTTGAAATTACTATAAGGACAAGGGTGAATCTTAGTCCTAACTGTATTGAATTAAAACTACTATAATATAATTTATTTGCATTAAATCATTATATCTTATTGCTCCTCCATTGACAATGGCCAGCATACTCAGAATTTACATACAAATATTGATGCCAGTTAGACATAATAAATGTGTTTTTCAGATGATAACAACGTTCGCCATTACGCCGTGTGTTTATACTTTCGTAATCAATTTTTCAGAAAATTTTTCTACAGTAAACTATTACTGTAGGTGGCACGGGCAGCTAAGAGCCGGGACCAATTTACTTTTTCCATTTTGATGTCCCCAGAGGTTAAATTATATTCATCATTTAAACACATATTCGTTTAAATGTTTATGTATATACTATGGTTGCTTTGAGAACAGTAAAAGCCAGTTGAGCGGAGCGATCATGTTTCATTATTTTTCATGAAATTAGAAATTAAAACAACGCCTGTTTCTGAAATAGACATATTTAATAGTTTAAATCATCAATTCATCACAGATATAAGTACTATATTTTCTTACGGTTTGTGCATCTTATATATTAAACACATTTCGTATGTTTAACATTCAGTCTCAAAGCATTGTCAGGAATTGTTGTTCATTGGTGGAATTGATTTCTTATTTTTATCTTCTTATTGCTCTGAGTTAAATTTAAAAATCTTTTTTTTTGTTGTGTGATAATTTTAACTTATCACGGACTTGTAATTTTCTAAGCAACCCTGAACATAACTTTGTACATAATTAGTTTTCCCAATACAATATGAAATCATGCATAAAAATGTGAAACGAACTTTAATAAAAAAAGAGCTTCTTTAGATAAGTACGTTATTTCAGCCAAAGTCCTTATCAAAAAATATTATCCTAAATAATGAATATTATTTATTTAAAATTCTTAAAAAAGGTATTCTAGACATTTTTTCATAGAGTTAGCCGTTTTTGAGTTAATTACGTTATACAAATTCAAACGGCCGCCATTTTTAAATTTACAATCGGATTATCTTAATTATTTTTTATATAGTAGGTCTTGTGTATGTTTACATGTTTAGCGAATTTCATAATCATCTAATGAAAAATTTCACAGATGAAAATATTTTTGTATAAAAAACGAAATGGCGGATATCTGGGTTAATATGAATTTTCGGACATACCTTCACATAAACTTTTTTCTTCCTTTTAGTATGAGGATTTCCCAAAGTCCTGAAACGTTTTTTTATGGACACCCTGTATATATCCCGGACAAACAAACTTCATCTTTATCCTTTGATTATTTTCTAAAACCAGCCATAGAGGTAACTTCACGTCATACAACTGTTATTGATAAACGCTACAATAACTGTCAAATGCTAAGAAATCTACAAACAAAATAGAATAAACCTTCAACATTTCTTTTAAAAAAGAAGCAGTTTTCCATTTAATCTTAAATTGTTGATAATATAGTCAGTGTGGTTATTCCATGTCATGTTGCATAATAATAAATCTCATCAGCACAATAACCTTTACATTTGAAGAAATGTAAACAAAGTAGAATAATTTAGTTAACAACGTGAACAACGCGAGTAAAATAGTTGATTTAGACGTTCTAAAACTTGACAAAAAAGTCTCAATCATAGACAACGTTTCCCTGGCTTTAATATAGTTTTCGCTACACTACTGTGAAATGACCTGTTTTCGTTAGATGTTTATCACCTGCAAAAATTCATCACTATGCATAATTGTTTACTACGGAAAAATCATGTTTACTATGCGAAAGTAATGTTTTCTATCTTTTTGGATTTTGCCGACGTAAACAAAGATTTGTTATTGTTTTTTCAACTGTTTCAATTTTCAAAAACCAAAACTGTACAACCAAAGTAAATATTTAAATTTAAGGCATATCCAAAAATATTATTAGTTTTATAATGTTCCTCTGTAACAAAGAAATATATTAAGCCTAATTTAAGTAGAAACAAAATTTCTTTTGAGCATAGCGAACATACATGTACTAGACCTTTTAAAGTGCTCGATAAATCTCACACATTGTCTTAAATATGCAATGACTCACTATCTACCCTTGTTATGAAATATACTAATACAGTACATTACACAGTTTACTGGCAAATAAGTTATCTAATAAACGTCAATATTGCGTAATGATATATCACGATCACCTGTATTGAAGAAAACATAAATAAGCTGTGTATGGATTCTAATGCTTGTACGTTGTATCTAATTTTATGTTGTTATTTTTCCCGCCGTCACGGGATCAAGACTTTTAATTTGAGCCCTCTCTTGCCGTTATACGACTCCCCAGACGCCTACACTTATCTCTCTATCTAATCTTACTTGTTAGTTAAAGCAGCTTATATAAATAATTTGTAGCTCCTAATTCCATGCGATCAATTTTATATTATACTAGTGGTCGTCCAGTGGACGAAAACTCGACCAGAAACATGTAATGCACACGTATTGACTATTGTATACTGAAGTAGACATCCCATTTATATGGACCAGTTGTCACCATTTTTTAATCATATGGTTGTGTTAGCCAGTTACCGAATGCGTGTCTTAAATTCCATTGTCTGCATTATTTTTTGTTGCTGATAACGTTGATGGGTCATAACAGTTGCTATAGCTCGTAATAACTCATTCCATAAGTTTGACTTGGTAAAAAACATCGTGAATTCGACAGAAATTAGTCATTTAGATCAGCGCAATCTGTTGGTGGCTTACATCAACTACGACGAATATAATTCAAAAAACCGGTGACAACTTTAACATGGGGATGGAATGTAAAGGTACAGACTTCTCTATTTTCACCCCACGCTGTAAATAAAACATGTGATTGTAATTTCTTCCATTTGTTTTGATTATCTGTTTATATTTTGTTGTTATTTCGTTGCCAACATGGCAACCCATAAAGCCCGTGTTAATTTTTTTTTATTTCAAATCAATTTTTTGTACTTGTATTTGAGCCTATTTTAATTTTTAAAGGGATTCTGCACTTCTTCAGGAAAATATCTTTCTAACGGTAAGCGTAGATTTTCCCTACGATGCACACGAGCTGAGAAAAAAGGTTTTAAAGAAACATGCATGCCTATTAATATATAGATTTCTCATGTTAATAAAATAATTTAGACGTCCTCAGCACACTAAATTCAGAAGGTTATTGGATGATGATATAAGAAAGTTGGCATTGAAGTCGATCCAAGAGACCTTCGCTCCTCTCATTAGTTAAATAAATGTACAGGGTGTCTTGCAACCATAAGAACAAACTTTGTCACGTCATTCAGCATGTAGAAAAAACAAAACAAAAAAATATAACATGAGTCCTATTTCATTCCGTTTTCAATCTCACTGTCTGTATGTGTTTTTTACTCTGACATTTATATCTCCTTGAAGGTTTGAGCTACAGCTTCGAAACACTGCAATAATGTTTTTTTTTTATTAGTCACTCTTTTTGTACAAAATATTTTTGTAACACGTTTTAAACCGTTAGAAAATGGCGGCTATTTTAAATTTTGACGCCAAATTCCATAAACACCGTTAATTTTACAAATTAATTGCAAAATATTTTAATTTTAGCACGATTTATTATGCATATTTCAACGGTATCTTATAACCTTATTTCTGAATGTTTAAAAGTGAGAGAGATTTCTCGTGATTGTTTCATCAATTCAAATGCAAGTAACCTAAGATCCGGTGCAATCAAAGCTGCATGTTTGGACGTGAGAGAGAGGTTTGATGATTATTTGGAGTTGGACAATTTTTTAATTAGGTATTGTATTTATGTTTCCAGGTAAACTAAGATATTACTTGCAATGAGAGCTGCACGTGTAGCTATGAGGGTGCGTGAGCGAGTCGTCTCGTGACCATGTCCACAATATTTTTTCTCATGGCGTGGATAATGACTCAAGGTATGTTTTGATGTGTAATTATACTACTTATAAAATATGTTAATTTGCGTTATAGTATACAATTTTTCTGGGTGTAATTTAAAAAGTAACAAGGAACCAACCGGGAAACAGTTGAAGTCCAACTACGCCTTTTGATAGAAGTAGCATAACCTCTAAACGATACACAGAGTCAATATTTGTGACTATAATAGCAGTCTGAAGCCAAGATACAGATCGTTGACACGTCCCTTGTCTCCAGGTACTCAGAAAGGCGAAGGTGTGGAGGAATGTGGCGGGGTGTTGACGGCGGAGCGCGGAGTGATTCAGACTCCAAACTTCCCTCACAAGTTCTACGTGCCTCTGCACTGCCGCTGGGTAATAGACGCTTCACAACACGCTACCACCGAGGACTACTCTATAGTTGTGTACTTCACTCAACTGTTCGTATCCTCTGGGCTGACCTTCACCGAGTTTGACTATTACGAAGCTGACTCTACCTTCCAGCTCGGCGGCAGACTAATTCACAAGTAAGTTGTAGCCTAAATTAGGTTAATTAGTTAATTGGTTTGTCATAAGCCACGAGAAACTAATCTTGAACTATAAATACCCCAGTGACAGCAAACATTCAGAAAAAGCGAATTCCCATTTTCGTAATTAGATTTTCATTCAAATATTCCCATAATAAATTATTCCCTATTTAAATGACGTTACATTTCAATAAATTAAGGATTGTTGGAATTTTCTCTCCCCATGAAACCCTAATCCCGTTGCCCTATGAAGCTTGGTTGCTAACTAATTATAATAAATGTAAGTTTTTCCCTTTGTCCAGAATTTAAAAAATATGGAAAATAGAGTAATGGGGTTGATATAAATTTGAAGGTATGTCTTTTTGGCCTCTGGGCACATCAAAACGAGAAAACAAATCGGTCCCGGTCCATAAGACCTCGGGAATAGCTTTTCCCCTGTATGGAATATTCGCTAGAAGAGGGTTTATTTACGATTTATGATCCAACAATAGTGGTTTAAATACTTGATATGTGCCAATTGTGTAAGAACTACGTCAAAAAACGTAGCTGTTTCGGGTTTTATACCATAAAAATCACTTCAAACTTAATCATTAAGAAGAGATTTGAGATTTGACGTAAAGATTTGTTCTCACCAAACATATGATGACGACTATGAAAGCCTCAACATGGTCTATCAAACAACAAGGCTTGTGTTTATACTATTTAAGAATTATTACGTATGTGAGCTTTGTTTTACGTAGGCCCTAGCTAATTGAAAGTTTAAAAATGCCATCAGAACCTGTATATATATATATCAATATTTGTAATGTTTGCTGTAAATAATAGACCATAGTACCATTTTTTAAATTATGTTTTATGACTTTTAAATGTCTTAAAATAATTTACATTATACTACACAAAAACAGGTACTTTTCCATTCTTATTGAAAAGCTGGAAAGGTGCCCTTTCCCTGCATACACACGGAAAAGTAACGTACTGTACTTTTACCGGGCACTTAGTAATTTGATGAAATAAACAGCTAACTGCAACGGCCTATTTTTTTTTCTGTTATGCTCTAAATAAATTGTGTTTTGAGTTTAAAATGTACTAAATTTTCTGTGTAGCATAATGTAAAGTATCTTACGTTATTCGCCCGGTAAGCTTTACAGTACTCGCTCGAAAATCCCGCAATCGGCTACAAGTCACGTGGAAACAGTCGTGCTCGCACGGGTAAAACACCACTTTACCGAGCTAGGAACGTAATATAATATTTAAAAATGGGTACCATGGTTTATTTGTACTTTTAATATTAACTAGAGCTCGCTCCGTGGTCAAAAGCTCGTCCAAAAGTATCTATTGTGCAAACTTCTCTATTTTCACCTCACGCTGTAAATGAAACATGTGATTAGAATATTTCTTCCATTTGTTTTGATTTTCTGTTTATATTTTTTAGTTATTTCGTCACCAACATGGCAACCCATAAGGGCCATGTATTTTTTTAAATTTTATATTCATTTGTTGTCCTTATTTTTTGCCTAATTTAATTAGTTTATAAAAGGATTCTGCAGATCTACAAGCAAATATCTTTCGAACAGTATGCGTAGATTTTCTCTGCGATGAACAAACGCTGAGAAAAAAGTTTTCAATAAACATGTTTGTCTATTAATAGGCTATATAGAGTTAGTCCCATGTCATATCTCCATTGGAAAAGTCGATATTCCATCTTTGACCCAATTTACATAAATATTCTTAAAATACAAATACAACCTGCACATATAGGTCCGATAACCTTTCTTTTAGTACAACCCACGTGTAAATCGGTCCAGTAGTATGGTCAGACTGGATGTTGTATATTAAAAATTTGGCCCTATGTTAAATCGCCATAATTAAAATTGAATTCCAATTTTTGACCCAATTAACATAAATATTTTCAAAATACAATAATAATAATAACAATTTTATACAATAATAACAATTTTTTATGGTTAAACTTACTTCTTCAGGCCCACCTCATAATTGAACACATTTCAAAGTTTTAACATACTCACCTAATGCCAATAAAATGTTCTGTTTTTCCATTCAGAAATTGTACATGAAACATAGGCCCTATCGATGAATTAACAAATGTAATTATTTCATGATTAAGTATTTACCAGTTAACTAAAGTAATTTAGTGATCAATTTAAATACTATAATACAGTAGGGCAATAAATAAAATAAAGAGGGAATGTTTATTTGTTTTTGTTAAACTCGTTAAGCTTTTCCCAATTCTATGTAGGGAATGGTCACCGAAAATACAAATCTGCTCTTTAATTCTGTGTAAAATCGTAACATTTGAATACCACGCATTGTTACAGAGGCATGGCGCCGCAGTTTGCCACTGGTAGCCGCGGTATTTAAAACCTTCTGTTATATACTTTAATTAATCCCTTACAGTGTGTAAATATTTAGATTTGGTAAAATAACACAATAAAATTAAAACTGAATAATATAAAAATAATATAACCTAAACTTCGGTTATTTGTACTTTTTACTGGATGAGAGCAATCATACATTAAACGAATGCAATAAAATACATTTTCCTACAGTCACCCGAAAAGTGGGCTTCTTTGCACAGATTAAAGTACAGAAAGTCTTGCTTTGGCGCTCAGTTTTTTACTTTGGCGCACACCAGTATTCCAACCAAACTACAAAAAACAGCGTGCTATTATTATGCACGTAATAAGTGTACGCTTGCAAATGGGTTGGCAACACTTAAAGATACTACGACTAACGATCAGCTGGTGCAGAGTTTCCAATTTCGTTTAATGTTTGGATTTAATCTAACCTAAAAACGTGTTGTACAGTGTCTGAAAGAATAATAGTTTATATGCGTTATAAACTGTAGGAAAAATATAATGTGTAACGCGAGTGCAAACTGCCTTTGCTGCACACGAGAGAAATTTTACGCACGAGCCATCCAAACATGTTAAAAAATTTCAAAATTTATACCCCAATATATACATTTAAATTATGTAAAATGTGTGCAAAATCTGTTACAATGGTGATATATTTAGATTGACAGGCCCAATCAGAGATTGTGAGCTCAGCTGCGGGAAGCTATGCCTAGTTTACGGTTGACCTTTGTCAAATGAATCTTTACGACCACTTCACAAGGGCGAATCATCTACAGATCCCGTAAAGTAGTGATTTGGTTGTTTCAGAGTGACAGAACAGAATGTGACCAGTGTAAAGTGGCTGTTGACTCACAGACATTATCTAGTGATAGACTTCACCATGGACCGTCTAGAAGGTAACCACCTACGGGTCCTGGATGGCCTGTTGGATGTGTTCGGATTCAACTTCACCTACGAGTCTGGTGGACCAGTCAGCAACAACAGCTGTAGTGTGGTCGGCTGTTCTCTGTCTGGCCACTGCTACGCATCTCGTCAATTTGGGTAGGTAAATAGTTGACTGCTATAAATAGCCATCACCGATTATGCAGTGTGGTTTACTCTTTTAGAATAGGCAAAATCCAACCAAGAGAAAATTTGACATACTTTTTTTACGCCACATTACAATGTTTTAACGAATTTCCCACGCAAGGATTTAGTCCTGAAAACAGCTTTGCCGCCAGCTTAATCAAAGTAAAATGGGGATTCGTTAGTTACTACTTTACTGTTGTGAGTTTTTACCGGACACCAACCAGCTGATTATATTATATTTGGCAACGAGTGGCTATAAACAAAAACATAACCTCTAGTTATGAGTAGTGATTGTTAGTCTTTTAGTCAATGGGAATACAAAAGGATTTGTACAGATTTTTATTGTTAAATTAGCTTAGAGTAGTATAGCGTAAAATATCGTACGTCACTAGTCCTAAATGTGTTTACCAGACTCGTATGGTTATCCTGCACTCGACTTCATCTCGCACGGGAACAACCACACTCGTCCGCTAAACACCTATTTTCAGGACTAGTAACGCAATATACTATTGTTTTGACACACGTCTAGGTCTAGCGCACCTCTACACTTTCCTGCACGTGCACGCGTCACGAGTGAATAGTCCTATTACAAAATATGTTATACCGTCGGCCATTGTGTTATGTTGCGTACTGCTTGTTTATGTGTTTGGTTATACACTCTTGAACGCCTCATCAAGCAAGATAAGTCCCTATTCGACGTTCTGATGATGGCTTACTAGCCGAAATGCGCATACTACTTTGAGGACTAAACAACTTGGACGTTAAGGTGACAACAGGTAATTTAACATTGTTATTAGGAAATTTAAATTAAAAGTGACAGACATTAGCTGAACCACTTATATACAGTGGTAAAATGTATGTAATGTATTTATGTAATATTTATGGTGATATTTATGTAATGTAGCATGCATGTGTTAGGTGGACAGATTTTCGTGTACCAACAAGATAGCTGAAAAAATTATACTACACAAGAGAGGCCAAAACCAAAGCATCTTGTTTCTGACATATTCTTTTGCATATTATCTTTTCAATATGCAGCCTGTTTCATAATGCTCTACCAATATTTCTGGGAAATACTTTTCAGGTAAAGGCAATTGTGAACATACAAAAACACACTGTCTCCAGTTACTTTCAAGCCCAACATTTTGTTTTCGTTTCCTCCACATCATATCTATTTTCATTTGTAAAATATTGAAGTTTTTCAGTAGCCTAATAAAATTTCCACTGTTTTTAATTTTAAAGTAACTTATTGAATACTTTTACAGAAGTAATGGCATACACTTAGAGAATGATAATTTTGTATTTTAATATAACAAAACGTTTAGGATATAAAAATTGTATGTCGAAAAACATGGGTTTTAGTTTATTCACAAAGCCCTTGCTTTTTTTAATTACAAAAATCCGGTTTAAACTTAACTGTTAAAACTGAGTTAGATTATAAGATATGTTGATTGCTGTGGTAGGATTTAAACAGTTTTATGGTTGTATATAGTTCTAAAACTTATAAATATGGATTAACTTTATGTTTCGTTTTTAAATACAAGCCATTTATTAAAAAAATCTCAGTTTTATTATTATAATAAAACGGTACATATTATAATGTGATAAAATGTAGTCAGTGAAGATTATTCCAGTCGGAGTCCTAATTGTGACCTATCATTTAACTAGAGGCTTGGGAGTTAGCAATCAGGGAGAGTTATTGAGCGTGCCTTCATGGATAATTAGTAACATTCTGTGTCAACTTCATCCGATCCGATTATAGGCAAGCTCTACAGTTATAACGAACGGCTGTTTGGTACCTTGCTTTACCTGATTATCTCTACGAATAATTAATTCAATGAAAATATACAAGGTTGTGTTAACTGTGGAATAATTTATTATTTAGAATATCGTAAAAAATATAAAACGGGCTATGAAATTAATTTATGTGATTTCATCTTACTTGAAATAGTTTATAAGGGTTTTAGCGAATTTCCCTATAGTAGCTAGGGTAAGTAGCTATTACCGTAGGTCTCATGGTAAGACCTAGATCCGGGACCGATTTACTTTAAATTTTTATGACCCCAGAGGCCAAAAATACCATTCGAAAAAACATTTATATACGTATAGTTTATAGTTTAATATACTTGTGCGTCCAGACGATAACTTAAGTAATTTTTGTCCGATTTTAACAAAATTTGGTTTGAAGGTGTAAGGCGGGATAAACTTGAATGGGTTCGCATGATCGGACTATGGGAGGTTTAACGGGGAATGTAAAGGGTAAAAATGGGGTTTTCTAAATTTTTACCCTTAAAACTTATCATTTTTCTCCAGACCTTTTTAAAGAGCCTAAAACACAAATAATTTTGTATATCAAAGAGTTTTTGTACGGTGATTGGTTAAGGAGAGAAAAAAAAATTTAATTAAAAATTCCTATGTTATTCTTATGGAGAATATTGTAAAATGTTGTAGTTGGCTTGTTTATGGGTATATTTTGGTCAAACTTTTCTGATTTATTTATTTCATACTAAGCTATTAATATTTAACACTCTTATTACTTTGCCTGTAGCAGCCAACCTAGGTAGGCCCTACTCGTTAAACATAAATGGTTATTTAATAGATTAATTGAAAGTCAATCCAGGCAAATGGCATTCGCTTAGTCCGCAGGTTTGCTGCAGCGGGGGTATTATTATTAGTGCTTGAATTAAAAAATGTCGATATTATCATCTTTTTAGTAACTGGAAAGTCTTCCACGATTCGTAACTATTTATTTTCATTGATTCGCATTAATGTGATTAGTGAGATAACATTCCCTCTAACAAACTACAAGCCATTGAGGTTACATTATTGTAATATTGGAATTAGTTCTGTTTGATTGTTGTAAGTTGACTGAGTGTAATAACGGATGCCTAACTACCACGTTTACTGCATAATTCGTCGTAGTTTTGGTAATAATAATTAACCATTACTAATGCGGGTTCAGGGACCCAATATTGCTGTAGAAAAACTGGGTAGGATACTAAAGTAGCCTGTGTAGTAAAATAAGTTCTTTATACATGTTTATGCTGGGTGTAACTTACAGTTATCTATTTACATGGTCAACTGTTGCCTTAGCGAGTATTGGTGCGACTGCTACCCCGGGTTTTCTGGAGAAGACTGCGGCCACGGGCCACTGTGCGAAGAAGACAACGTCTGTCTCAACAGTGCCGTATGCAGGTAAGAGTGTTAACGTTTTACTAAAGAATAAATAAGACATATTTGCACAATGTGTTACAGTAGTTGGGTGGATGATCAAACATAAGCAAAAAGCAAACTATCATTAAACGTATAGTATCATTGCCAATATTAGAAAAAATGTGTTCAACTAATTGTTATCAGTGTTAAATATTTATTTATTATTTAATAGCTCTATTTTTTATTAATAATAATCCATGCAAATATATCTGATGGATATTTTGCTTAACTTTGCCTGTAAAAGCATTAGTATTATGATTATTATCGTAATCATCAATGTGTGTATTTATTTATTACATAGTATCATAGATTAAACATTAGGTAAGTAGGTCTACTCTTTAATCTATGATATCATTTTACTGTATTAAATGAAATTTAATTTAGGTCTGTATGTTTTGATTGCGTATCTAATCATCTTCGATCATATGTTTGGTAACATTCAGTGATTGAAAAGTCCCGGAACGGTATAATATATTTTATCCTTTTAGAGATGAAGGAATGAAAATTGGTAAATCAATTATAGCCATAATGTCTACTCTTCTAAGCTGATATAACTTTTTTGTCCTTCTAGAGGGGCAGCCCATAAGGAGTCAGACGAAACTGTTTAACTACGTTATTTAAAAAGGATTATATCATTTTCTAAAAATTACTAATCCCGTGGAAATTGGTGCTTATATAATTTAAATAACCATCAAAGTACAATAATATGATACAATACTCAGTAGAGTATGCATGTTCAGACAGGTAGGCGCTGCGGCGGTGGTCTGTATCTGTCCAGACGGGTTTACTGGCTCAAAGTGTGAAACTCTGCTTCAGCATAACGGTAAGTAGGCCTATCTATATAAAACTCAAGTAGTGAATGAAATTTTAAAGAACAAATATAGAATGGTTGAATTATTACGCTAAAATTCGTCAGTACATTTTTTTAGATTATCAAGAAAGAAAATTACCAATAATAGTTATGTGGTAATTTTTACAAAGCAAACTTATAAGGAACCAACCTATTCTAGCTTCAAATATCCGTGACGTAAGGGGCAAATTTGCAAGTGTATTTCCTTTGTTTACATCCCTAAAATAGTGCACGATTCCCAGTTATAAATGAACTAGGCCCTATATGAATAATTTTTGGCTTTGTTCCAAATAAACTGTATTAATTACCAACCGTAGTGTAGGATGTGAGCACATGCAAGACTTAAATAATGTTAACTTGTCTCTTGGCAGGCTGTGCCACTGAGGAGGATTGCACAACACATTGTCCCGAGGATGGTCTAGCAGAGCCCTGCACTTGCTGGCCCAACACCTCACCTGTTAACAAAGGTTTGTCTTATACTAGCTAGGTCTCAGGATTATGTTCAGTTAAAGAATCATTATGCAGCATAATTAAAACCTGAAATCATCTTTTCACTATCCATGTACAGTATAACATATTGTATGATATTTTGTCTGCTATGTTGACAGAGAGGGCAAGGTACGAGGGCACAGTCCGCCTTACCAATGTCACCGCGGTCCGCTCGTGTCTAGAGAGTGCTAGCTGCTCGCTCAAGACATTGCTAACCAAACAGGTGTGTAATAAATAATCGTACACGTGCTACTATTATCAACAACAACTGGGAGAAAATATAATCTAGAGCACATTCAGTGAGTGTTTTATTCGGAAACTTGTGTTTTAAATCAAACTTGGCTATAGCTCGTCCACAGAGGTGGGATGACAACTCTAGTGTTCAAAGTTAATTATACAGGGTGAATGAAAAGTCAAAAACCCCATCTAATATTTTTCTAAGTAAATGCAGCATACAGAGATATCCTTTTGGTGGTCATGCAATCTTAGCAGGAAGTTTCGTTTTATGATTTAGACAATTTTTAATCTCCCTAGAAAAATTCCCTTTTTTGTGGTAACTCAACATTTGAAATATAAACCCCCTTCAAGTGACACCTCATTTTAAAGTGTTTGCAAAACTCTGAAGAATGGTGAAAACCAGAGCGCGCTATCTCTTCTCTATCCAAAATGGTAGCCAGTATTTATATTATTAAAAGAATTTGTTGGATTTTTGTGTGCAAAAATCTACCCCTAAATATTTATTTTTATAGAGTGGTTTTGCATGCGACGAGATGATACTCTACAGCTGGTTAAAACCACCTTAGAACCAGCCTCTGGTGACATTCTGGAAATTGTTTCGTACTCATGTAAAGGAAGGTGTTCAACCCAGCAGTGTACACATTGAATACTGCTCCTCAGGCATGCACACTGCTGGGTGGAACAGCTTCCTTTACATGAGTACAAAACAATTTTCAGAATGGCATCAGGGGCTGGTTCTAAGGTGGTCTCCAACGTTCTGCTATATGAAAAGTTTACAAAGGCATTTCATGTATGAACAACAATCAAGAATTGGAAGCGTCAAGTGCAAGAATTGTAATGGATCCCAAATGGTTCACTTTGATGAACTTGAGAGTTGGTAAGATTGTCAACGCAGACAATGATGTTAACCTTTGCGTAGCCCCTACTAAGTTTGTATATACAGACTGTCCCAAAAGTCCCGGACCGGTTTAATATTTTCTAAACGACAACAGATAAATCAACAAGATTTGGTACATCAACATCACACCTAAAAATCTACTTTTTTATGGAAATATAAATTTTCTGTCACATCATGGGGACGTCCCGCAAGGAGTCAGAAGGAAATCTTAAATAGAAGCATAGGTTGACATGTACATCAGATTAAAGGTCTTTACTAGCAGAATATAATGCTGCAAATTTAAACTCAAACGGACAACCAAGTCAAGAGTAACAGTGGTTCAAAGATTCATTTAATTTGCATTTGGGGGCAGAGCCCTAGGAGTCAGAACATTTTTGTTAGCGTAAGCATAGGTCGATATGCACATCAAATTAAAGGTCTTCACTAGTAGATTACAATGCCGTAAATTCAAGCTCAAAAGAACGCCTGAGTAAAAAATGGCAGTCGTTCAAAGATTCAAAACGGCAGGTTCAAGAAATCTTTGAACGGCCGCCATTTTGTAACGGGTGATCCTTTCGAGGCGCGGTTTCCGGCATTGAACTCTGCTAGTTAAGCCCTTTAAACTGATGTGCATATTGACCTATGGTCCTATTTAAGATTTCCTTCTGACTCCTCGTGGGACGTCCCCATGATATGACAGAAAACTGATAGTTCCTTAAAAAAGTAGATTTTTTAGTGTGGTGTTAATGTGCAAAATTTTATTGATTTATCTGTTGTCGTTTAGGAAATATTAAACCGGTCCGGGACTTTTGGGACAGTCTGTATGTTTTGTATGGTTTGTACATATGTTTTATACTGTTTTAATATCCTTCAGCAAGTCAAAGGCAAAATGAGTTACAATGAGGATTTTTATTATGATGATGAAAATTGATTTTTTTGTAAAAATAAACTCATTCAATTAATACTTGATGTTAAGTTAATTGGTTTAATTTTTATGTTTCAATATTTAAAAATTCGTTTTGTGCACAATCTTTTATTCTATTTCTGATAGCACTCTAAACCTGTTAATAATGTAGTTATATCGACAAAATAGTGGTTGTACTCAATTTTACATGTAGAAAACCATGAAAACGAGACCCAACAAGTCATATGTAAAAAATCATAAATTATTTAAAATTCTCCCTACCCCTCCTGAACAAAAATCAATAAAAACCTGTACCAATGTGCTAAATCCCTTATGGAGGTGGTTCTATTGACCTAAATATGGTTCCTATCGATTCACCGTGTATACAAACCTTGAAAACGACTTCCTAAATGACTTCAAATAGTGTATCATGAGTTATGTCAAAGTCCCCCCTCCCCACCCCTCAAAAATCATGTTCCCCATCGGGACTCTTAGGGACTCATTGGATTTTGACTTCTATTGGTAAAACGAGGTTAATATCAAAGATTCATCTCTGAACTAATTTTTCATTATTATTTAGTATTTTTCCTGTACTATATTGGGTTACATTACATTAATATGGCTTGATGATAAATCAGGATCAGCTGTATTGAAGTAAATGATATAAGCAGTAAAGGGCTTCTAATGCTTTTCTTATGGAGGACATTTTACGTTATATCTCGTTTTCTGGTAACTTTATGGGAATTCTGCTATTTTTCCCGAGTCCCTGGGGTCAAGACATTTAATTTAAGACCTCCTCTCCCAATTTTCTGCGACTTACCAGACGTCCAAAATTTTCTGGTAAAAGTTTTTTCTTACAGAATTATATATAAGGATATTAATAAAATAAATTATTGCATTAGTGTGTGAAGCAAATAGAACCCAAATAAATATTTATTTTATTGGCATATTGGGTACCAATCAAAGCCCTTGTCCTCTAGATGTGCCTTTTGCGGGTTTGGGTAATATCCCGTAAAAGCCCTTCGTCCTATAGGGTTTTACAACTTCATAGTTTGTACTGAATTCTGTTGTCAATCATCTGAACTTTTTCATGTTTACATTTGTTTACATCAAAACAGATGTTTGATTTATGTTTTAGGAAATCAAGACAAACTAGTGCACCTGTTGCTCGAATTCGAACAATTGCAAAGTATTGCAGGCGTTATTTCAAAACGAATAACAGTCATAATTTCCTATGACTTAAAAGAGCCCACTCAAAGATAATATTAAATTGGTGTAAATACCTGCTTTTGTGGTAATCCTATTGTTGCTAGTGACGCAACTATAGGATAATGTAAGATGGTCAAAGATAATGTAATCAATCACTCCACTCCAGTTATCGTAACTGAAAACCAACTCACTCTGTGTATCATGTGTTTATGAACAGCCGTAATTAATACAAATTATTTGTCTGCAAGTAAACAAAATCTTATCATCATAAGAAATACATTGGGATTTTGATGGCCTGTGGAGGACATTTATGACAGGAATTGGTAAAAGGGGGCGTCTACACAAAAAATACTTAATTTAGACACATCGTTTTTAAAAATCCGTCCATTATTAACGGAGGAGTAGTGTTTCGTAGAAAACGCCTTCACGTATTATGTAATAAGTATATTGTAATGTTATTTGTTTAAAATGTAAAGAATAAAATAAATTCGAGTTTTTATAGTATGTTTTGTTAGTGTTTTTATTTTTCAGTGATACCTCGAAGAGATCGCGCACACAATTAAAATAATAGGGATCGCAATGCAAATACATAATAGGGATATGATGAGAAATAATCGTTTTCACCCTTGTCAACTCAAATATATCACGGATTTTGAAGTCACGAAGTGACGCAGTTTGCTAGTTACTGTTACATAGATTTTTCTTATCTTCTACATGTGTAGACATCAATACATTTGACAGGCTACCATTTTGGATAAAGAAGAGATAGCGAACTCTGGTTTTCACCCTCCTTTAGGTGTTTGTAAACACTTCAAAATGAGGTATCGTTTGAAGGGGGTTTAATTCCTGGCGTGTTCACTTATGTTTTTTCCTTTAAATATTTGTGTACATATTCTATCAATACTTTGTTGGAATAAAGATATAATTCATTCATTCATTCAATTTGTTTTTAATTGTTGCCCCTAAAATCCCCATTTTTGGGGAAAACTCAACATTTTTAAAATCATAAAATTAAACTTCCATCTCAATTCGCATGACCACCAAAAGGATACCTGTATATATACTTAAAGATTATTAGATTGGGATCTTGACTTTTTATTTACCCTGTATTCAATACTACTTTTTTAATGCTTGTAACTGTTTGTTTCAGGTCGGCCATTTTTTTTTATCATCTTTATTTGATAGTTCTACTAGTTAAGCTTAAGGAGCTGCGTTTAGCATCCCGGTATCACGGTCAGTTTTTAATACACCAGGAAATTCTTGGATTAGCGTCTTTTAATCCCGCTATTAACGGAGTTTCAAAAACTATTTTTTTATTTGTTTGTTGATTTGAGTATCTTTACTAGCAGAAAGTAAAACAAAGTTGCTGTTCCGTGTGTTTCTTTTGCAAGTTTAAAGATTCTAGAGTAGTGAGGGTTTGCTGTTACAAGCATGAAAGGGTCTACATACTATGACATATCTACCATGCTATGTATGTCATACTTTGTACTCCCCTCTAGGGCCAGTAGCCGCATTGGTTTTCTGGCCCCCGCTATATTTAGCATGAGATGTTTTGCATCTCTCTCTCCTATCCACTCTCAGCCGGCCGGTTGTTTTATTTTCAAGTATGACATGTTTACTATACTGACTATGACATATCTAGCATGCTATGTATGACATGTTTACTATGGTAACTATGACATGTTTACTATAGCACATATGACATACCTACCATAGAGTCACATGACTTTTAGTACATATGTCATCCCTAACATGCTATGTATGACATGTCTACCATAGTAACTATAACATCACTTGACTAGCCTCCACAACTGAATACATCAGTAGCAGTCATTCGGTTGTAATCATTTCGATTAATCAATCGTAATTGATTCGATTAATCGATAATAGTTTATATTTTGTTACATGATTAGGTTATGCATTAAAAGTTATGTTTTCTGAAAAAGGTAATCCTAACTATCGACTTTTTAAACACGATAGTAAATTATTGATTGTT